AAGAAATAAGAACTGCTGTGACTGCAAGAGTATCCAGAACCCACCTAGACAAGCAGTGACTCCAGTGCTGGGGTGTGACTGCAGGCAGTGAGTGGTTGCTGGCACAGATCACTTGGAAACTCGGTAGCTGGAAGAAGAAGAAAAATGGATGGCCCAGTTTAAAGCCTCCAAGGGAAGAAGGTTGATTCCAGCAGCAGTTTTGGAAGTCTTTTTCACCAACTATTTAGGCACCAGATCTTTCACAAGTGGTTTCATCTATCCAGGCTTTTGACACTTGGGAGTGGGAAGGCAGAGAAAGAAGGATCACTGCAAGCAAGACACTGAGGAAAGCAAACCTCTAAATAATTTATTAAAGGGTTAAATTAGTAAAACAGTTTTTCACACCAACACATTATGATGTCCTCCCCTAGCTCGGAGTGGATACCTTGGCAGACATTAAAACCAAGACCACCAGGAAATGCAGAGCAATGGAGAGTCAGCAAAGGTTGCTCATGTGAGAGGAAACCTATGAAGCCCTGCTGTGGGTCACCAGGGACAGGGATATTCAGACTTGCCCAGGCTGATCAAGCATGGGAGAGGAGATCTTGACACCAACAGCCAGACTCCTTCAGCCACTGACCTGTCCTGAAGATCCCCAAGACTGAAGAACCACATGAACTGAAAAGCACTGTTTCTTTCCAGATGTTCCTTTAGTCAGCTCTGGTTCTCATTTTACAAGTGAAAGCTAGAATGCTAGCACTTCTTAAAGAAAAAAGGCTCTTGGTGTCTGCATCCATGTCTATTTATCTTTTGTTTGTGTCTCTTTCCTAACCTTTTGTGAGCCCATTGGACAATTTTGATCTAATAAGACAAGCAAGAAGTCTTAAAGTCATTAAGTTCCTACACATTTCCTGAAAATAGGATGTGGGTGGAAGAGAAAGACCTCATTAATGCTGCCTGTGAGGGAAAAGCTGATGAACAAACTCCCACCTCTTTAGAAACCAGATTGCACACAAGAGAGAGAAAGCAAGTGATTATGAATATCCTGAGTGTGGGGAAAGCTTGACTGAGAACTCACATCTTAGAGGTCTGCAGAGGACCCAGACAGAAAGCTCAAAAACACAGAAACACAAACTTTCCTTCTTCGTATGTTTTTATATTCAGCCTCACCACCTGGGGTAATCCAATCTATTTTAGTTTCAGGACCTGAAACGAGAAGGAGACCAGATGTGTTTGTGCTTGGGGTCTAAGTGTGCCCATCTGTGAGCCCACATAAGCTTCATGCAGGAAGGAAACACTCCTCAAATAACACATGAAGTTAGCATGTATTTTTAACTGCCCTGGGACTGGGGAATTGCCATCTATAATTGCTGATAACTGATGACCATTGAAAAAATTGGTGGAGTTCTGGCTGACAAGTGGACCACATAATACAGGCAGGGCAACAGCTGACAGCAAAGGGAAGGAAGTGTTTGTTTACCACAAAACAACTTAAAACTAGGATGAAAGCTTTATAAGCAGAGTTGTGGTTGTGGTTCACATATTAGATAAATATTCTGCTTCTGTGTGGAGATGTATCCAGCTGAATAGATTGGTTTTGACTCCCTGATAAAAGTGTCTATTTAATCAAATTTAGAATCAAATAGCAGCCAACTTCTTCAGTGTTAATATGGGGGTTTGGGTTTTTATAGATGATTGATGGTATGTTTTTTATATATGTTAACATGTTGCATTCTGTGTAATCTCTGACAGGATCTCCCCCAGATGCAAGGACTCGGTCCTTCACTTTTCCTGGAAGAAAATATCCTACAATTTCCCTAAAGTTCAAGCCTCAGTTCTCACTCCTACAGAACTCTGACTATATAATAGTCTTCAGATTGTCACTAAGGAGCTATGGCAACTGCTTGAAGACAATGACCCAAAGCAGATTTTCAAACATCTACATTTTTTATCTTACATTCTTTTAATCTTAATAATCCCAGAAACAACATATAAAAAGATCAAATATTTTAAATAAGGCAGAGGATATTTTAATTTCTTTAATCACGAGATTTTCCAAAATGTGGAAATTCAAAAGAAAAATTTCCACTGCAAATACTTGAAAAATAAATTGCATTGCATAGAACAATCTCAACTTCTGTCTTAGAGTCACAGTGTTCAATTTCCATATCTGATTTATTTTATGGGAGTGTTTTGTCCATTTTGCTTTATTCCATTATGTTGTTAGAAAGAATTACCTTTATGCTCGGATAAAACCACCTCCCTAATAGGTTTGTTTATCCTTTTGGCCACAGTGCTGGTGCTCCAGAGCACAGCACCAAAACTGCGGAGTCAGCACATCCAAGCCAGTCAGGAATGAAGATTGCTCTGAGTGGAACTCACTTATGGCCAAAGGCCAATTTTCACAGTTTGCAGGGGTGACAGGTTGATAAATTTGGAACCACAGCCAATCCCCAGGAGGAAAGTTGTCTGAAAGCTGCATGGGACATTGGTTTTTCAGAAGGACGAAAAGCAAAGGATCTCAAGGACCCCAGTTTGATTCATAAGAGAGAATCCCTTTCCGGAGCCTTCTTCAGTCATCCCTACAGGAGACCTGGGCCCTGTTCTCTGTACCAGTTCCCACGAGAAGGTCTTAGCCATTGAGTAAAAATGTATTCTGGATTCACAAAATCGTAGATTGGTTGAGATGGGAAGGCAGATCATCCAGTCCTGCCCTGTGCTCAGAGCAGGGTCAACAACCTCAGCAACAACTCAGAGACAGTTGCTCAGGGCTGTGTCCAGTCATGTTTTGAATATGTCCAAGGATGGAGGCTCCACAGCCAAACTGAGAAACTTTTGTTAGTTTTGGATCACCCTCACAGTATAGAAAAAAAAATCAGTCTTATGTTTAAATAGAATTTCCTGTATTTCAGTTTGTGCATCTCATCCTATCACTGGGCATCAATTCTAAGAGTCTGGCTCCATCTTTTTTACGTCCCTCATTAGGTATTTAAACACACTGATGAGGTCCACCATGAGCCTTCTCTCCTCCAGGCTGAGCACACGCAGTTCTCTTAGCCTGTCAGTCTCATATGTCAGTCGCTCCAGCCCCTTAATCACCTTCATGGCCCTTCACTGGACTCTCTCCAGTATGCCCATGTCTCTCTTGCTCTAGGGAGCCCAGAGCTGGACACAGCACTCCAGGTGTGTCCCCGCATTGCTGAGTAGAGGGGAAGGATCACCTTCCTCTTCCTGCTGGCAATACTTTGCCTAATGATGCCCAGGGCAACATTCACCTTCTTTGCCTCAAGGACTCATTGCTGGCTCGTGTTCAACTTGGTGTCCACTGTGATCCCCCGGTCCTTTACTGCAAAACTGCTTTTCAGTCAGTATGTACTGGTGTCTGTGGTTATTCTTCCCCATGAGGTTCCTGTCAGCTCATGTCTCCAACCCATTGAGGTCCCTCTGAACGGCAGCACAACAATCCAGTGCATCAACTATCACTCCCAATTTTGTACAGACTGCAAACTGGCTACACTTGGACACAGGTGACCACTTCTTGAAGCAGTTCCAATTTTATCAGTCAATCACCTGAAAGCACTGAAAAATAGCTCTTTGGTAAAATATTGGTATCTACCTACCTTTTAGGAGAAAGACATGAATTTTGCCTAGGGGCACTTTTTTCTATGAAGTTCAACAGTAAAAGAAGAGATGCTACTATACAACCTGTATCAACAAACTTAATAAAAGCTACCATCCCTATCTAAAACATCACATCTCTTAATAGACCAGAATGGTCATTACTAGTACTACTGCTATTGCTACTATAAAATTTCAATTTTCTTATTTAGGTTTTAAAAGTGGGTTTTAAAAGTAGGTTTTACAGTTTCTTTACCAGTAGCTAAACCCCCCTGCCTCTTACCTCCGCCTACTGGAATAGATTGCCTCGCATGTTCTGTAAAACTATTACTGATCACACTTATTGCCTGAAGATTTAAGCCTTCATTTGAGAGATCCATATAGAGAGTAAGGAGCTGCTTTTAGAGAGGCACATTTCTGAGCTGTCTACTTCTTCCATTAATCAAGGCACCAAAGGAAAAATCTCCACCAATAGAGCTACACCAGTTCTCAGCAGGCAACAATCTCCCTTTAACGTCTGTAAAGCATTTCTTATTTAACAATTCCAGCTAATTAAATAATCAGAGAAGCATATGTCTATGGAGAATCAGAGAAGTATATGCCTATGAAGACTGTTCAGTCCCAGGCACAAGTGTGAGAATGTGTTTTTTTTCTTCTAATTAGTATTGAAGCTAAATTCCTCCTTAACTCTTTATCTTACTGCTTATTGGAATTTCTCAGAAGCATTCATTTTGACTCTAAGAAACACTATGATTCAAATACTTGCAGCTTTGCTGATGCTCAGATTAGATCTCCTTATGGAGCAAAGCGTTCCCCAGGACAGCACTGCTTAGCAGGGCACAGGGCTCGGTATTTGTCTGAATCAATCCAGACCATTTCAGGGTCACTTTTAGCAAAGGAAAGCCTGCCTGTTAAGACCAGATAAGAGTGAGGTCATTGATTTATTTTTTCCTCATTATCTGGCAAGGTTTCAGTTGAAGCCTAAAGTCATTATCTCTGTGGAAATACAAACATAAGTTGGTCCCTTGAAGCAAGTTAATTTAGTTTGAAAACAGTTAGGGAGTTACCTTCTGAATTCAATTAGCTAATAACTCCTGATGGGTAAAGGTCACAGAAGAGCAAGGCACCATGCTGGTTTAAGTTAAATGTAATTCCAGGTAATATCAGAGCAGCACTTTTCCCCTTCTTACTGAATCATGGCTGCAGCTTCTGGCCCCCATTTCCAAATTCTCCATCAACATGAGAGAGAAATTTATGCCAGAAGGGATCACCTTCAGGGATGAAAACAGCAGCAGTACCTTTGAGCCACAGCTCCTTCAATAACTTCCCTTTATACAGGAAGGAAATCATCAGGGGAAGACCTTGCCCCTTTCAATCAAACTGAAAAAAGCCCCTCTACTCACCTACGTTAATCAGAAAAATGTGTACATAAAAATCCAAATCCCCCTCTGCAGCAAGGTTGCAGCCAAATGCAGGATTAACTTGCTTTTCTCCCAGATGTAGAGATGTTTCTTACAAGGACTGATGCTGTAGGAAAGCCTGTGTTTCTGCAGAAGAAATGACACCTCTGGATCACTCATGGGCCACCATCTGCAGAGGCTGTTTCAGGCTCGGCTGGGAAAATATTTCCAGCTTAACATCCAAGTTATAAAATAATACTATGATAGAAACACTGACAGGCTTGATCACAGTATAATAACTGTTGGTATTACTATAATAGAGGGGAAGTAAATGGTGGAAGGGCGGCACATTGCAATTGTTCTCTCAAGGAAACACCAGGCTCTGAACTGCCCTGGTCAATCATGATCTACAAGCAGCTCCCTCTTAGAGAAACGATTTTTCATTTTACAATGTGAAAGCAAATTTTGTGCCAGTATTACCTCAGGTCATTAGCTGTATTGTAATTCTTTTGTTTTTCCAAACTGATTTCCCCCTTAATTTGATTTTGAGCACCTGATTAAATTTACCCTCCCCAAAGAAACAGACATTCAATTTAACTCCAGATCAACATTCTCCTTTTACCAAAATACAGTTCTCATGGCTGCACTTCTAGCTTTAGAGTAATTTTGTCACTGTTTTAAAGTGGCATTATCTAACCAATGGCAATATGTTGGCTCGCTCCTGCACATCCATGTTGTACACAAGCTCAAAAAGCAGAACAATAAACTGAACAATACAAAAGGTACTTTTCAGAGAACTACAAATCATTGAATTACAGGAAAGCCCAGTGTAGCACTGGTATTCATTTTACTCACTCATCCCACAAGGAATGAAATTGAGTACCCAATTGCGTGGGTGTCTCTTTGGTTCATTAATGTAGTCCACAGGGCTCTCACTTTCTCTGGTGATTGGATCAATGCAACCTTCTGGACATATTCTCTTTCAAGACTCTGAGTGGACATCCAGGCTAGGTCTAAATTATTGAAGCAGTGATCAAACCTTGGGACCCTGACTGATTCCTCATAAAAACGTTATGCAGAAGAATTATACTGGGTCAGATCAAAGGTCCAGTTTGTCCAGTATCCCACCACTGATAGAAGCCAGCAGCAGATACCAAAGGAAACAATTTTAAAAAGGGGTAACCATGTAGTCATATTCTCCACTCTCCCCTCCCTGCATCCAGCAGCTGCCACGCAGGCAGCTCCTCAGGCAGGAATGTCATCTTGCTTCCTAATAGTCCCTGATAGATTTTCTTTTTCCATTAATTCCTCTGACTGGTTTTGAGCCTGTCTAACCTCTTGACACCCAGCAGATACTGTAAGACTGGTTCCAGCTCAATTGCACACCACAAAGACCAAGTTGTTTGCTGTTGCTTGCTTAAGTCACTACCCGGTAATTCCATCTGATGTCCCTTGTTCTTGTTCTGGGAGAAATGCAAATAATCATTCGCTATTTATTTTCTCCATGCCACTCATGATTTTAAACACCGCTATCACATGCCTTTCCACCTTCTCTTTTCCAATCTAAAGAGTCTATTTAATCAATCTCAATTCAGAAACCGTTCTGTTTGTGAAAACATTTGTCAGGTTTCTCTGTCCCTTTCAAGCACTGTTATACCTTTTCTTAGACGTGGAGACCAGAACAGTGCCCAGTAATCAAGAGGTGAATGCACAGCAAAATAATTATTCTGGTTTTTATGTCTTCCCTAGCAATTTCTGACAATCCATTTGCTTTTGATCATTGCTCTGCCCTCAGCCAACATTTCTTAGAATTACTGACAGCTAATCTGAGCTCTCTTCCCTGAGTCATAATAGGTTGTTTAAAGCCCATCTTCAGCATCGTACAGTCAGGTCTATTTTTCCCCATGTGCATTATCTTGGCCCAAACGCAGGCTGCTACTTTGCTGCAACGCCACTCGATATCATGAGATTCTGCCACGTTTTTAAAAGCAGATTTTTATTTTTTCCTACCCCGAGTAATTCAATTAAAGAAATATCCAGCACCATTTAGGATATTTTCCAGACCACTTATGAATATGCCAGACATCACGGAACTCAGTGCAGATCCCTGTGGGATTCCACTTGTTATCTCCCGCTGAAATACCTGACTGTTTATTTCTACTCCTCACATCAGCTCCAGCAGGGATCTTTCCTTTCATCCTGCTCCTGTTTTGCTTCTTTAGGATCTTCTGACTGAGGAGCTTATCAAAAGCTTTAGGAAAATCTGAGCACTCCGTACCAACCAAATCAGCCTAATCCAAACACATGTCAGCGCTTCAGACAAACAGCAGCGGATTTCTCTCAGACACAATTTCTCTTGACAAAAGCCACATTGACACGTTTCCAAAGTCCTTTTTAAATACTGGCATCAAATTGCTATTTTCCCTTTCTGTGGTACAGTAGATCTGGAGGGAAGAGATGCAGGAGTTCCTGTTCTGCTACTGGAAGTTGGCTGAATCAGTGTATGCTGTGGTTGCAATGACCGAAGTCCCTCCAGCCCTAACCATGCAAACAAGACCCCACTTGCCCTTGTGAATGATGCCAAGCACTTTTTCTCCCAGGGATTCCCTGTTCAGTGGCTTCAACAAGCAGTCACTTGTGCTGCTTACAGTCTCCCTCCCCATTGTGACACTTTCTCTTCTAAAACTCCTATTTTTTTTTTCTGAAGCTGCTTGGTTCTCTGGATTGCTTCCACTTATTTAATGCCCTAAACATGCCCACAGAATAACCTTCCTCTCAGTAGCCAGACCCTTCCTGCAGCCACACTGCACCTTCCTTGTGAACTCAGGCCCTTCTGGAGGGAAGGGAGGGATCTGCTCTCACAGGGTGAGGCCCCTGCCTTTGTCTCCCACCTTCAGCCATCCCTGATGAACATTACATGATAGAACTGTCTTTTAAGAAGGTTTAACAAAACTCTAATTTAAATTTCATGTGGGCTGCCCAGTGAGGAAAATTTTGAACCCGCACAACTACACTGGTGCTTCCTCTCATGATCACAGATGAATCATCTTAGTGTTATGGCTACTCATCTAAAGCCTGAGACATCAATTAAATTAATAACAGTGACAGAGTTCTTCTGATAACATCCAGCTATTTGTCAAGAGATCTGCTAGTTGTTTCAAATTATTGTAGTTATTCCAGCTAAAATTTAACTATGCAAGCACACTTGGTTCTTTCTAATTTTACCTATTTTCATGTTAATGGGCTTATTCTTATCTCATTCTTTTCAGATTTTTTCATTCAATGCCTCAAAAAATGTGCACATTTCAGCAGCAACCTACCCTTTCAGAATATGTCACAAGTTCTTAGAGCTATACACATACAATCAGTAAAATATCCACCAGTATCTTGTGCACTGCTTTGCATGTATGAGGTGCTATCTGTAAAAGAATTCAATCAGAAAATTCATTACAAAATGTGAGAAATGGCCCAGAACCTTCTGTCTAGTGTATGCTGAAGTTTATGAAGTGGTGTAAAGAGCAAATTGTTTCCAGAAGGCATCAGATAAGATAGCAAAGATAAAGACTTCCAAACAAGAAATTGGAAAACAGACCACACAGTGATGCCCAAAAATATGCCATTATAATTCCAGATACCAGTGCTCTAGTTAACAGGTAGATCTGTGTTCACTCATGTGAAGCGAGACAGTGGATTAAAAATGTTCCTGTCTCTGAAAACAGATACTATGAAGAATGTATAGTAATGGAGTATTCTCAAATGAAGAGGTAAAACCTCTCAGTGGATGAAAAAAAATTCATTTAATTTTTTTCACTGACACACTTACGTGTCTATGTGTGTACATGTACATACAGAGGCCATATGTGTTCACAGAGCATTTTAAAAACGCTTGCCTTGACCTTCTTGGTCTTTTTAAAGGTGAAACAGGTAAGATGGCACTACTTTCCTATTGTGAAATACCCTCAGATTTTTCATTTCATATGAAAAGTCTTTTGAGCAGGACCATTTATGTCACTGGGGTTACAATAAGTACCACTAGGCAGTAACTGGTATCATTTACTGCAAAATTTAGTGTACAAAAAAATCTCCCTACACAGCAGTCCAGAAGCCAGAAGGACACATATAATGAATATTTCAGTACTTAGCACTCAAAAAGAAAGGAAAACCCAGAAGCGCTAGATCCCAGATGCAACCCCATTAGGACAATCCATGCATAGAAACAGTTTGAATGAACGCTTTCCAACTAATTCAAACCTAATAACCATAGCAATGTTTCCAGCTCTGCATGCTTCACTAAATGTTTCATTTTTTCCATTAGCATTCATTTCATATAATATTTTAGCAATATTTGTGTCTCCTGATGCATTGCTGATGCCCACACTCAGTTCAGCTTCCCCAAGTCTTTATTCCATGCTATTTTTCTCAGGTGCCTGAGTCAACATTTCAGACATGATGTTCCTCCAAACAAAAGCCTGGTCCAGATGTTTTGAGGTATTTAACCAGGGCAGAAGAGTCTACTGGGCAGAGTGGAAGCAGATTAATGCCAGACTCCTCCTGGTGACATCTTTAATCGCCTTTTCTCCAACTGGATTCTGAAAAAGGCCCTGACCCTGCTCCATCTCTCAGCTGCCTGCTGGGGAAGGGAGGATGGAAGGAGCTGCTGGCTTCTCCCTCAGTCAGCCCATGGCAGGACAAGCCTGCAGGCACAGCAGAGGCTGAGTGCCTGCATGGACACTGTACACTCTGCCCTTACCTTGTGTAAGAACCAAGACCAAATCCGACCCACGGCAAAAGGGTCCTCCATGCTCTTCTGCATTCAGCCACCCAAAGGCTGGGCACAGTTCCTCAGGAACACCACAATATTTGCTTGTTTCTCCAAAGTCTCCTCTTCAAATGTCTCACAATTACAAGGAAACTCATCTTTCATTTAAAACAAACAACAGTTTGGGGCCTCCATGGAAACCTAGACATGGGAACCTTACAGGCACACAAGGAATCTGACAGGTTCAAAGATCTCCAAGACTATTACCATTACTTCTTCCCATCTTCAAACCTTTTAGCATCTGGGTTTAGCAACAC